CATTCATTCATTTATTTATTTATTTGCCACCCCTTTAGCAGAAATATTACTCGGGGCAGTTTATAAATGAAAACTCATACCAACATATAACCCCAAATAACAATACAATAAGTATGGTGGTCTATCAAACTACGTTGTTTCCCCAAAAATAAGACCTAACCTGAAAATAAACCTTAGTATGATTTTTCAGGGTGCTCATAATATACTGTAAGCCCTACCCCAAAAATAAACCCATTAAGTGAAACCCCGCCCTCCACCACTGTGCAGCAACCAGAAGATGACATGACTATTTGAATAAATGTAGATTGTTGTACATGAAAAAAATAAATCATCCCCTGAAAATAAGCACTAATGCTTTTTTAAAGCAAAAAATTAATATTTTATTTATAATGTCTTATTTTCGGGAAAACACGGTAGATCTAAAATTAATTCAAAAAGAAAAAGAAAGTGCAAGAAAAGACTTATCCAGAGAATATATTGTTATCATTTAGCCCTAAGAATCTACATTTATTCATTTGTTATATTTATATACCATCTTTGCTGTAGCGAGCTCATGGCACCATGCATGGATTTCTTTTTCCCTGCTTTTATCTTCATTATAACCTGGTGGGATAAGAGAGTATGACATAGTTAAGGTCTCCCACTGTGCTTCATAGCCAATGAGAAACTGAAGCCAGGTCTCCCAAATCTTAATCTGACAGTCTAACCTTGACAAGTCCCATTTCAACACCCTAACCACTACAGCACAGTGGCGCTCAGACTTTTCTTGAGATGTTTTAGCACTGCCATTGGAGATGTATTAGCAGTTTGGAGATTTTGGACTTTGTTATACAGGACTATACATACTGGTTACCTAAGGGCTGCAAAGCTGGTGTGAGCTTCTTATTTATACTTCTTTGGAGATTGGTGTGGACGAGCAGAAGTGACTGACACCATCACTTTTGCTGAAATTCACCTCATCAAGACAGCTTTTCCTTTAGTGGTGCACAAGCACAGTAAGGATTCTCTAGAATGCAATTTGCTATTTTGGTAGTCATTTGCAATTTCCTTCATATACACATAAAGGATAGTTTCCCAGTGTAATTTATGTCAGAGTCAAGGTGACGTGAAATTTTTAAGAATCTCACTTAGAGGGAAGAAAAACGGTAAACATAATAGTTTTAACTTGTTATTGTAATATTTACATCTGTTTTAATTCTTTTTTCAAATATTAATTTAGTGTGTTTTTGCTGATTCAATCTCTCAGTGATTTTTGACCCACATTAGGTCTCACAATTGGGAGAAAGACGATGTTTAAATATAATTAATTAATTAAAATTAATTAATTAAAATACAAAAATTTACATAGGTAGGTAGGTAGGTAGGTAGATAGGTAGATAGATAGATATAGATATAGATATAGATATAGATACATGATGATAATTTGCTATGTATATATTAAAAACAGCTGAGATGGGCAACCTGTGCATCATGCATGACTCTCTGATCACTTTGCCAGTGTGACAGCAACCTCCCAGCCTTTTGAATCACTTCTGCTTTAAAGAACTGCTGGATAGATCAGTGGTTTAGGTAGAGGTTGGGAGTTCAATTCCGCACTGTGCCTCCTGGACAGGGGCTGAACTCGATGATCCATAGGGTCCCTTTCAGCTCTGCATTCTAAGATTATTATTATAAGATGTGTAAGGACCACATGCATTGTTTTAAAGCATATTTGCTATCTCAGAAGCTCCACAAAAAGATTAATCTGCTGTATAAGTTCTCCATGCTCCCTGTTTTAAAGCAGAACTTCAAAATATGTTTTCATTTTACATGGAAGTTATCTGCCCATGACTTAACATACTAGTATTTGTGCTTCTGACATCTTTACAGACTGACAGAAAATATATATAGAATATGTCATCTGTCAAACACCATGTGTGACACTGGTTGTCAGAGGGAGTTCCACATATACGGCCATATATCATCATGTTATGATAGTAACGTATTTTTACTCTGCAGTGGCCCATCTGATTCTATATCACTACTTCAGTTGTTCGAACTGCTAGGAATAAGCCAGAGTCCATCCACTCCAGCTGAAGTGCTGCCTGATGAAAGGCAGAGTAAAATTAGTTCTTAAGCTCATGTCATCTTTCTATTTTATAGGATTCATTTATGTCAGTGGTTCTTAACCTTTGTTACTCAGGTGTTTTTGAACTGCAACTCCCAGAAACCTCAGCCAGCAGAGCTGATGGTGAAGGCTTCTGGGAGTTGCAGTCCAAAAACATGAGTAACAAAGGTTAAGAACCAGTTTTGGTGTGCTTCTTCTGAGCTTGAGCACTCTGATGCCCCCCCCTTTTTTTTGACACTAGCATTTTCTCCATCTTCCCTCCCCTGATTCTTGTTCTGCCCTTTGTCTGTTTTCTCCTTGCTCCTGAAAAGTTTGCTACATGGTACAGAGGGCTGGAATCCTTATGTAGCAGCTCAAACCATGGGAGGGTGGCGTTGGCTTTGTATATCAGAACTTGGGGAGGAGATGAGAGAGTGATGACAGATGAAAGTATGACTAGGTGTATGTTTATGCATTTCGCAAATAACATCTGCAAAAGGGAAGCAAGATGAATCCTGGGGATTTTTCCCAGATATATGTCAGAATATAAGCATTCATAGACAATCTTTCAGAGCTTTACTTTAACTGTAATGCATGGTGTTAGATGTCACATTGAAGTTGTTGGGAATTACCTGGACTGCTGGATCAGGTTCAAGGACCTATATTTACTTTTTGTCCAGATTGCTGTTGAGAATTAATGCTGTGGTTTTAAATGCCACCTTTTCCTTTCTTAATTTAGACTCTCAGTGTTACAGAGTAAAGTTGAAGATTCCCTGGAGACCTTCATGCAAATCAGACAAAACCTAACCAGTTTACAGGTCTGTTGTTTCCTCTCTTGATCTTTTTTTAAATTTTATGTAGGGATGGGGTTTGAGACCTTTCTTTCTTTGCTGCTTGATCTTTGTTTTAGACATTGTTTGGGAATGGTGGGATTCAACAGTGCTGATGATTGCAGCCTTCCGTTTGCCAGGGTGTAAAGATGGCTACTGTGGCTTTGTGAGTAGACAGCTGGATTTGGAGACAGAAGATCAGAGAGGAAATTCCTACTTCACTGTGAATCTTCCTGCATGTCTTTAAATCAGCTGTAATACTCTCACCTTACAGTGTCAGTATTTGTATGTAAAGATTAGGCTGAATTCTTGAGAATTCTAAATTTATCATTCATGAATTATGCATTCATGCATATATTTGATTGTTCATTCTTAGTTCCTTATGAAAGCAGAAGCATCTAAACAAGCCAAGAGCAGAAAGGTCAGTTAAAACTGGGAAAAGTGCTTCTGTCAAACAATTATTAAGTTCTAAGATTTTATAATCTGCACAAAAGAATAATAGCAAGCAAAAATATAAGCACATAATCATTAAAATAGAATTAAATCAACTCCACCATAACAACCATTAAAATCACCTAAATACACAGTTCAAAGCAGTAATGGCAAAGCCACCTATAGCAACATTTTTATAACAACACCTTACTTTCTTGTTATTCCAAAGTAACTAGCAGAGTTACTTAACAATAAGAAAATGCCACAAGCCAATACCCTGTAGCAGAAAGTATATCTAAACAGTGAAGCCACAGGTAGTTGTAATACATTTTTAAACCAGTGACCCTTATACTACATAAAGATGTTATCCTTTGTTTCACTGCAATCACTTGCAGTAGGTATGCCTTAGCATACGAAAGCTTACAAAAATGAATTAATTATGTGTAAAATGTTCATTTTATCCATTTATTTTATTTTATTTTATTTTATTTAACTTATATGCCACCCACACTACCCAAAGGTCTCTGGGTGGCTTACAACAATTTAACTATATTAAAAAAGATAAAACAATTAAAATACAATTAAAATATTTACTCTAAAAATTGCCATCAGGACCCACAGTTGATGTTATTTCAATTAAAAGCCTTCTGGAACAGGAAGGTTTTGACCTGGCGCCGAAATGTCATCAGCGTCAGCGCCAGACGAATCTCAGTCGGGAGGGCATTCCATAGTCTGGGGGCAGCTGCCGAGAAGGCCCTTTGTCTACAAGCCATCCCTTGAAGTGTTGTGTTACTATTTTCTTCCAAACTCTGGGCATGGCATTTTATCCAAACCGGAACTGTGGAGTTGTTGTCGTCTTACCAAGGTCGACTCTGAAGCCAGGATTGGTCATTAGTTTCTGCTCCATGGCTGGTTTGAAAGTGTCGAGCTGAGAGCTGGGTCTGGGCCTCGTGCTAAAACTCTCCTTGCTGGTGTTCTGGGTTTATCCAGCTGCTCCCTAGGCAGGAAGAGCCAAACAGGGTGCATAGACAGTTCTTGTGTGTGTGCTGCTCATGCTTGTTCTATGGATATAGCACTGGAGGCATAAACCAGGTGGAAAACCAGAGAGACTTTCTCAGTACCCCTAGGTGATGCCAGGCGAGACATGTAAATAATAAACAAACTGGAATTCATTTCTCTTGTCTTTCTTTAGAAGTTGTTAAGTTTGAAGTTAATACATTTAGCGCTAACAAATACATGGTGCAAGAAGGAACCTAAACATCTATATGGTCTTATTCTGCTCGACGGGCAGTATTCTCTGGGCTGTCATACCCACAGCTTGTAGCGGATGGCAGTACACTTTCTGTAAGCTTATCTTGCCCGTTTTAGTGCTCTGGCGGGGTTTGGATCCAACAGCAGGAGGCATAGAGGTGGTGGATTGGATGGCATTTATGGCCAGGATGGAAGCCAGAGCCAGTGACACCATGCCTTTGATTGAAGGGCATGAATGTCAAGATAAAAGAGGGTTTGGGTAAATTATCCAATGGGCTAAGGCAGGAGTGGCTTTCCAGCAAATAAAATAAAATAAAAAGCAATCTGGAAATAGCAAACTGGCAAGCTGTTGATTATTCTCAGCGGTCATTTGCTCAGGCCAGTGAACTAAGGAGGAACGTCATGCTACCGATTGTGTTGGGGAGGCATGCAGGCATGTTGCAGTTCATCTGTGAAGCCATGTCAACGAAAGAGGCAAAACAAATGGGAGTTTTGGGAAATGCCAGTCTTGAGGACTTTCAGCAGTAAGATTTTCTCTCTTTTTAAATTCACCTTTTAGGCTTTAGAGGGCACCAGAGAGCTTGAGAACATTATAGGTGCTTTGGACAACTCTGGTCACTTAAAAAATGAAGTGAGAAAAACGAAGAAGCTATGTAAGAAAAACCTCTGATGCTTTCATGCTATTTGTATCTGTATATATTGCTAATATATGTTCCTTCAGGCATTCAGAATTTGGTTTTTATGTGTCGTTGAAGCATCGCATATTGTAATATGTGTTGCTCACAACTAATTGAGTTATACTACTGTACAATAACTTTCTGGTTATTGTAGGCACAGGACACCAAGAAAAATAATTCACCATACGTAAGTGGTATGATTATAGATTATAGTAGATAAAACTGGAACTAGTGTATGGCACAATTTTCTGCATGCCCAGTCAGAAGTAAATACCATTCAGTAAAATGGAACGTATTCCCACATAAGCGTATGGAGGATGGTTGTTAAATCAGAATCGACTTACAGCAACCCAATAAGGCTTTCATGGTAAGCAAAGTATTTAAAGCATGGTTTTACCAGTGCCATCCTCCCACAGTGAGTTTCCATGGCTGAATGGGGATTCAAACCCAGATCCCCTGTATCCTAGACAGTCGCTATCTAGTACAGCACACTGGGCACCATACAGGATGGTAGCCTAAGATTATAGCAATAATGTATATTCATAGTTAAAGTCAATGATTTTTGCTTATATGGTGACAATGACAGCTTAAACTCAAGGTTTTTTTTGAGGAGGCAGTATTTTATAGCTCAGTGAGTTAGGGCTCTGGCTACGGAGCCAGAGGTTGGGTGTTCGATTCCCCCCGTCCCTTCCAGTTCTGCAGTTCTAAGATTATTATATTATTAACAGTGACCTAAATCAAATGTCACATTAATATCCAAACACTAGAAAGGCAGGCCTTTCTTCCTCTCCTGCATTTTCTGTAGCCCTTCCCATTGTCCAAAGACCTCTCTGTATATTCGAGATGTTACAAAGGAACTTCAGAGTGAATTGATTAGTTCTTAGATGAAACAGCTATGTTTTGACTATCTCAGTTATATTCCACAGCTTATAAAACTGTCCATACATTGAAAGTGTATCTTTCATTTTCATTTGGCAGATACCAATACATATCTGCAATTGTTATCCTAATTCTAGATTTCATTTCTACAGTTTTAAGATTTGCAGCATGCTCTCCACTCTGTCTAGAGTTGTGTACACTAGTCATGATCCAGCAGGATTTTTTCTGCTGATGAAATTGCTTCCACTGGCAGAACTAGATAGTGAGTAGATGCACACCCTGTTTCCTGCTGCAGTACACCAGGCACCTTCCGCGTCTGTCCTAGGAAGCTTGCAAACCTTCCAGAGAAGGTCTTTGGGCTGTTTATGGAGGGCTGCAGAAAGAGCAGGAAAGAAAGAAAAAATCTTGTCTTTCTAGTGGTTGGGTATTTGCATGATATTGTTAATAAAGTATTATACACTCCCCACCTCCCCAAAAAGTTAAGGATCATCGTCACCATATGTGCAAAAACCACTGCCTTTAAGTAAGATTTTATTGCCAGCTTTTGAATATGCTTGGTGAAAAGTATAAAGTGTTATGATCCCTTTTCCTATGTTCACAAATAAAGATGCCAAGAGGAGAGATGAAAACAATATTCAGTTTTTCTCAAAGGTGGAAGACTTCTGTTGAGAGTCTCCACATCGCCATAATTATCATCATCATTGTCCTAGAACTGCAGAGGAGAAAGAGACCCTGTGGATCACTGAATCCAACTCCTGTCAAGAAGGCACTGCGGAGAATTGAACTTTCAGCTAGGCATGGGAGCCTCGGCTTCACAGGTGCCATGGGGGTCCATTACCACCCGCCCTCGAACCAACCTGGTCCACTCCCCAGGCTCCTCGCAGTGCACATGTCTGACAGTGGCAACATCACACCAATCCTCTGCCCATAGCCGACTGCTCTGGCAAGGAGGCAGGAAGACGAGTCTCCCTGCTCTGCTAGCTGCTCAGTGGTTGGTTAAGGGGAGAGGCGGGGCAGCACCGGCAGGACTACGCCCGCGACTGGCAAGCTGTTGCCACCATCGGACGCGCGTGCTGCGAGGAGCCCAGTGAGTGGGTCGGCAAGGAGGCAGGAAGACGAGTCTCCCTGCTCTGCTAGCTGCTCAGTGGTTGGTTAAGGGGAGAGGCGGGGCAGCAGCAGCAGGACTACGTCCGCGATTGGCAAGCTGTTGCCACCATTGGACGCGCATGCTGCGAAGAGCCCATTGAGTGGGTCGGGCTGGTTCTGCAGGGTGGGAATGGACCGCCATGGCCCCTGTGGTGCCGAACTTTGTATTTGCATCCCCCATGGACCGCCATGGCCCCTGTGGTGCCGAGCTTTGTATTTGCATCCCCCGGGATATGAATATGAAGCTCCCATGTCTAATCCCAACCTTTGACCTAAACCGATATGCTATCCATAATTGTTGTCGGATGTACAGTATCTTCAAGCTGTTGTAAACGGAAACTGAAGAAGGTTGCTATTAAACTACTTTGAGATGTGATTAGGGTCCATCAGATGCAGGTCCCCTATGGTTTTGCATACGGGTAGCCTTGTTAGGTTTCGCTCAGTGTCTCATCTTGTTCATGGGGTGCATCTAGCAGAGTTTTGTTTTTAAAGTGTATTTGTGGGAGGAAGTCCATTTTTGCTGATTTCCTCCATCCCACCACAGTCTTCCATGCTTTTCCAGATGGGTGCAGTGAGAGGGCCTGAGGCCCAAGAGCACCCCATAAAACTGGATCAGGGAACTGTGCATCCAGTCCAGTAATTTGCGATCACATTTCCTTGGATGTTAAAGAGAATGAAACTTTTTTGCTGTTCTTGTACATTACAATCACGAGTAATGTTTTCATAATGTCTAAATATATTTTGTTAACTAGTAGAACAAGCCAGAAAGCAGAAGCTACTGAAAAGAAGCAGTGTAAGACATCCTGCCCAAGGTAATTTCCCTCCTTCACCTTAAAACCATGCCTTATTTGCTTTGATAGCAAATGATTTGTCACAGCTTTCCATTCAGTGAATGTCCTTTGCAAGGCTTTACACGATCCTTTTGCAACATACCATATCGGATTTGTTTTCCTTGCAGCAAAGCATAACCTTTTTGGGTGGGCGCGGGAGAACTGTCTTTGCTTGTGTATCTTAAAGATATATTACAAGGAAAAACAGCAATTGCTTTTTGCCTTCATATTATCTAAGTGCCTAACTGCGCTGTCATTAGTGTATACAATGGTTCAGGCATCTGGTAATGCTAGAACACACATGAGGCCACACAGGATTGCTCCCCTCCCCCACATAACACCTACAATGTAGCTCCCCCAGGATCTATGTGTATGGTGTACACATCTATAAAAGGAAGCCTAAACAGACATTGCTCAATGTTCCTATATAGTTCTTTTGTAGACGAGTGCACCCTAAATACAGATGCTTGGGGGGGGGGCTGTGTCACAGATGCAATGTCAGAACATGAGGCTGTAGGGCACAGTCATATATTAGCCTTATTGAGTTCCTGACTGCCCTCAGAGGATTTGGACCTGTTTGACATTAGTGGTGTGCTGTATGGATAGGCAATAGTGGAATAAGCATATATATGTCACATCTCTTTCATTTCTAAGGCCCACAAATAGGGTCCTGGGTAGTTATTTGTTCTTTTCTATGTTAAGTCCAGTTTCTGTTGACTTTTTCTTATTGCTGGTCCTGAGAGCAGAAAGGGGATCTGCAGCTGCATAGCCCTGTTTGTCATTCAGCAGGGACCAAGCATGCTGCCTCCATCTCCCCTGGTTCTCACCACCCTGTACAGGTAGAGCCAACTCTCCTGGGATCACTTGGGAAGGCCCTCTGTGTGATTTCAAGATGCTGGAAAATCAGGATTTTCGAATCCCCCCAACAGAGAGAGAGAGAGAGAGAGAACTCTCCCTTATAGGTACAGAGAAGAGTCAGGGAGAAGACTGAAAGTCACTTGCTTGTCTGTGCTCTCCTCTCACCTCCATGCAAGTGTGCAGCTTGCCCACAAGAAGAAGGCCCGAGCAGAGCAGGTGGGATAAAAGAGATCTCTTCCTCAGTGACAGAAAAGTTGAACCCGACAGAATAGATCCAGAACGTCAGGAAGAGAGGAGAGGAAAAAAAAACTGATTCAGGGATAGACAGAAGCATCATCTCTCTCTTTTCTTTTTCCCTCCCCCCCTTTTTGTACTTTGATCCAGTCTTCCCCAATCTAATGGCTAGCAATGGATGATGGGAATTGTATTCGGGCACATCTGGAAGGAACCAGGTTGGGGAAAGCTACAAGAATGAAGGACACCGAGGTGCTACGTCAGCAGCCTCCTGAACCCCATGGCCAGAATTCAGGCAGCTTCCAAAGTGTCCGCTTCTTTTTTTATATATATAAAGAGCCGCAGCAGCCTCCTTGTTTCTGCTTTCCGGGGCACATTGACTGTCCTGAGCTGAGTTGTCGGATGTACATTTACTGTAAAAGTGAACTTTTACTGTAAAAGTATGGCTAGAAGAGGCTTGGGGAACCTCCAGCCCACAGGCCACCTTTGGCCAGCAGGCTAGCCCATGAAGGTACAGGATGTGGGAAAGCAACTGAGCTACAGCTCCAACCCAGGTGCAAGCTTTAATCATTTTGCCCCTACCATGCCTTGTAGGCCCAGTGGGAAACAAAGGGTGGGTACATTTTGCTCGCGCTTCGGGAGCAGCGTGAATCCTGGTCATGGGATTCGGCCGGTTCTTGGCTTACCAGCTCAGTGGGCCTCCCTCTTTCCCCTCTTGGCCTCCATGGGAGCAAAGCAAGGTCCCCAACCGGCATGTAAACTGGTGGGTGAGGACACGGTGACAATAGGGAGCAGTGGCTGCCTCCGAGCATCGGCACTGTCACTTCACCAGCTGATGTTGCATGGCTTGAAGAATCCAACTCTCTGTTCCCTCATAACAGTTCCTCACCTTGGATTAAGATATGTGGTGTGTGTGTGTGTGTGTGTGTGTGTGTGTGTGTAAATAGAGCCTTAATAGTTAAAGATCTCTGGAAGAGTAGGCATTTTAACTGTAGTTCCATAGTGCTCTCTGAAGGCCAAAGGAACTGTCTACACAGAGCAAGTTTTCCCAACCCTTAAACCACTGTATTTCAACCAGGTCTTCTCTCTCAGTTTCCATAAGCTACCCAATAATTTATGTGTTACAGAAACATTGTACCTTAGCTAGTACTTTAATGGAAAACGTCTTGCTTTTTTTTTTTGAAAGAGGAAGAGCACCACCACTTAATATGCTGGGAATACCAGGAAAGCATTATTACTTGCAATTCATTTTCTGCTGACCTGTAGCTCCACTTTAGATGCTGGCTCAGTCATTTTGGAAAAGTTTGTATGGTGTCTTTGTTCTTTGTTTCTTTCTGGGACGGAAGCAAGTGGTAACTCTGTTAGAAATGGTGGAGCAATAAAAAGTAGCAATGGCTAATTTTAAAAAAGATTGCAAAGCCTGTCTGGAAGCTATGGGTTATAGGTTACAATACAAGGGCAACCTGGAAAAGTTATTTTCAAGGACTATGATACCCAGAATCCTCTGTGGTGAGCAATCCTAATAGGATAGAGGACTGGCATGAAGTTGGGCATGTGGTGAAGATGGTTTAGAAAGTCGTTGTCCTGTAATGTGATCCTGCTCCAACCGAAAACCAGAAGCATGCTTTCATATGTGACAAAACTGCTACATGTGAATTTTTCCCTTTGTATACATGATAGGTAGTTGTACCAGGGGCTTGCCTGTACATAATAGGAAATAAACACCAGCCCTTAACATGCATGTATGCAGTTTTCCTCCATGTTAAAAAGACATTACTGTATTTGTGGATGAAATTAACCAGGTATTAATAGTAAGGAGAATACACTCTTCACATGGTCAACTCTCTCTTTACTGTGGCACATAGCTTAGGATCACGGGACTGAATGTTAGAACTGTTTTTTTAATAAATATTTCCTCATGTGAGCACCCCACCAAACTGAGAGGAACACTTACTTTAATTCTGTTGATGGAAGTGCTGGACCGCCCCTGTCTGTAACCTTTTTGCTTTTCCTTTCTTAGCCACATCATCTTAGGTTCAGGTCTTTGAGTGAACAATAAAGCCTTGATGCATCTCAAGGCTTGAATAATGATAATAATATTTCTCTAGTGCCTATTACTGGAGGACCTGAGAGCACTTTGCAAACATTTATGAATACAGCCTTGCCACATCTCAGAGACATATGATCTCTATTTTGCAAAGGCCCATCTCAGCAAGGTACTCAGGAACATGCCTTGCATTAAGCACATGAAGCGCATGACTGACATCACTGCTTCTGCAGGTCGGGACCCAGTTTAAGAAGCATGATTTTTTTAAAAAAACAACGGACATTACAATTCTGTGTGGGTGCGAAAGCTGGACAATTAAGAAAGCTGACAGGGAAAAAAAGTGATTCATTTGAAATGTGGTGCTGGATGAGAGCTTTACAGACACCCTGGACTGCCAGAAAGATGAACAAGTGATTCCTAGAGTAAATCAAGCTTGAACTATATCTGAAGGCAAAAATATGAAACTGAGGCTGTCCTACTTTGGGCACATCACAAAAAGACAAGATTCTCTGGAAAAGAATAATAATGCCGAGAAAGGGTGAACGGCAGCAGGAAAAGAGGAAGACCAAATATGAGATGTATTGATTCCCTAAAGGAGACCACAGGCTTGAGTTTGCAAGACCTGACCAGGGCAGATGACAACAGGATATTTTACAGGTAACTCATTCATGGCGTTGCCATAGGTCAGAGGTGACTTGATGGCACATAACAACAACAGTTCTGTGCTGTGCAGCTGCATGACTTGTGGTGATTTGACAAGCAGATTAAATAAACAAGTAGCTTCCATGACATTCTGTGGAATACATCTTGCCTGCTCTGTTTTGTTCAGGTTGTCTCAATGTGGGCAAACCCGGACCCAAACTTGAATTTTTCAAGGGTACAATGCCTTGGATGGCAAGCAGATTGTTCCTTTTTAACCAGCATGCCATGATTTTTCAGTCACCGTGCTTACGGGGTGGCTTGAGCAGCAGGTAAGCTGCTGATGGAGAAAGATCTGTTTGTCAGTCAGCATGACAAAATAGGGCTGCCCTCTGGCCTTGTTCCCAAAACATTCAGAAATGGCATGACAAACTCTGTGGGGCAAATGCAGTACAGGTTCGAGCTAGTACAGAGTCAATGAAAGGAATAGGATTTTCAGTGAAATGAATGGGATTTGTTTGTAACCAGTTGCATTAAGCCCCACTGATTTCACCGACTCTTCTCCAGGTATATCGGGACTAACACTGGACTTAAGCCTAAGGACTTCAGAATCTCCTGGCATCATGTCTGGTTGGTTCTGCATGTTTGGAGTAACAGGTACAATGGTTCCCACTCATACAAGGAAAGAGCCCACATTTTTCTGCAACAAATTTGTGTTTAATGGCCATGAAGACTGGTCCCCCATAGAAAGTATGAAATGAGAGGACAGCTAATTCTTAGTCCTGTGCCTTCAACTCAAGGCAATACTTCCTTCTTCCTCGGCTTGAGTCATTTAGCATTTATATCGATATGATCTGAAATCTCTTTAGCTCAGCAGTGTGTTCATGATGCCAGACAGGCAGCCACACATCTTGATCAAATAGATTAATTCTCCCTTGTGGTTATGATTTAGTTTTAAAAGAAATAGATTAAAGGACATTTTAACGATGAAGACTTCGCTTGCTGAGTGTCAGATGTGTTGAGTGGTGTTTTCTCATTCTTTATTTTTAACACATTGTGAACAAATGACCTATTTTCTAGATTGTTTTTCTTCCCATCTTCCTTAGTTCTTTATTTGTTTCATATCTGCTTGCAGGATTCTTGAAAAGAAGTATGTTCTGTTCTTTATTTAAGATACACATTTCCTTTAAATGATGTTCTAAAACCACCTTTGATGCTAAGATCATCCCAGTGGCAATTAGTATTGTTTATAGTGGAGAAGGCAGGGATCTAGCAATGTAGGACCTATATGTGATAGAGGAGCAGAAGGCCACTAGTCTTGCCCAACACACTGGGAACATACAGTATACTGATTCTATTTAACATCAGTGAGTTCAGCAGAATCTTGCAAATGAGGCCTATACCTGACAATCTGGACATTGAGATCACTACCCTCAAAATCAAAATGAACAACACAACACAGGCTCATTTAAGTTTAACGTAGGTATTGGTGATATGTAGGACTTTTGCACCATCATTCTTTTGTAATGATGGTGCAAAAGCAAGGCTGTTCCAAGTGGTGCAGACCCTCTTGCAAAGAGAATCCCTACCCCACCCTAAAGAAACCATTGGTGGTTTTCTGTAACTTTCTCAAAACTGGCTTCCCACTATTTCTATTTAAATTAAAAAATTTGACTGCCGTTCCATTACAGGCTGGTTGCTATGACTGGCATGAATTTCAGGTGTTGCAGCCTGAGGATACGGAAAAAGTGCTTGGGGATGTTTGGCTTCTCATCTGTTTATCTGATGCTTGTCCGTTGCAGCTTGTAGTCTTTTTTAAGGGACAGTGGATTCACTGGGCCCAGCAAGTAGTTAATAAGTATTTCAGAATTCAGGTTTAAAGGAGATGACTATTTTGCCATTCCCCAAACTCCTTGCACGATGCCAGTTGTCAACCAGTTGTGAGATATTTGTGTCCAAAAAAAGTGTTTAGTTAAATTGCACATCGTTATGTTTTCTTCAGCCGTTTATGCATATGACAAAAGGCAGCTAGAGCTTAGTATGGCATTGGAAATCATAGATGAGTGAAAAGGTTAAACTTAAATTTTAACATTTAGCACTGCTGACATGGTCATGTAGGGCCACATCCCTCTCCTAATAAGAACGGGAGTGTCAGAAATGAAAGCATAAAGGAAAAAATAGCAGAGCTAGAGAAAGAACATCCTCTTTTCTGTTGCTTTTGAATCTTGGATGTGGCTTTCCATCATTATTTTTAATTAGCCACGCATAGGACATAAAACCTATGACTATTCTTTGGCTTGATACAGATGGAATGTCACATTATCATCACATGGTGAGGCATGAAATTTATTTACTTTACATAAACAGCCTCTACTTAAAACAACTTAACTTAGAACATTCCTTCGTCAATGAACGGCATTATGTAAAGCTGAGTATATCATTTTGCTTTAGCAGAATTAAAAAAGAGCACCATTGTTTGCCCATGACTAGCGTTTACTGTAAACAAAAATGTTTTTTGAAGAGAATGTAAGCAAACTCAAGAACAGCTGCCAAGAGATGAAATCGCAACATGCTGGTGCCTCCCAAAGCTTGCTTTATATACATATGTGTAGGTTGCACTCTGCATATTTCAAAGGGGAATTTTGAACAGTTTTAGCCTTTTGGAGAAACGCATGCAGAAGCTAAATGAATTTTTGTCCAGCTGATTCTGAAGCCATGTTTGAGTACTCAGGGAGAGTGTTCTTTGTCTCTTCTGCCAGACTTACACAGGACTTTTTCTCATTAGGTATTTTCGGTCAGAGTCAAGATTAAAGTATCTGTTTACTAACGTGTTTGCAATATGTAAGACAAAGCACTAAAGGTTTTCAGGCTTAGTGTTTCTTTTTCCCCAAGTTGTGTATTATGCAATTCTAGCCACATAGTCTGATTTGTTTGTTCTGCCTCATCTTGTTTTCTGTCTTGGAATGGCATTGATCTGAAGTTGGCAGTGTGAGGCTAAACAGACTGTAGTCAGCTGTCATCCTTCCCCTCCCCACCCCCATAGCTTGCTTTAAACTAGTTGCACGATAATAGTCACACTGCTGAAGCACAGCAGGCCTATATCACGTCAGTACCTGGATGGGAGACCACCTGGGAACCCCATTAATATGGTACGCCAGTACTGTCTTCTGTGTTTTAGGATGGAAGATCACCAGGATATAAATGCTCTTGACTAATAGAGAAATCCAGGCAGAAAACAGGCAGATTTTTGGAGTGGTGGCGTCTGTGACTTGACTAATAGAGAAATCCAGGCAGAAAAAAGGCAGATTTTTGGAGTGGTGGCTGTGGTTGTTGGGGAAGGAACTGGATGTGGCCTTGGCCAAATTTGTTCTCTATGCTATTTTTCTTCCATTTCCTACTCTGGTGTTTGGGGCTTATGTGGTCCCCGTGGCCAGTCCCTGTTAGCAGTCTGTCTGCTTCGTTTTGGACCTGAGGAACTTTCCAAAAACATTCCAGAGGCAGCCCCACATAGATGTCACTGTGGCCAAATCAGTCCTCTCTGGGAATAGATGCTGCTGGTGCACTAGTTTTAATTGTATATAGGAACATAAAAAGGGCCCTGCTGGATCAAGCCAAGGAGGCCCATCCAGTCCAGCTTCCTGTATCTCACCGTGGCCCCACCAGTTGCCTCTGGGAGCACACGAGACAATGAGATACCTGTCTCCTGATATCCCTCCCCTGCATCCAGCAGTTTGAAGTACCTTGCTTTTAAGCCTGGAGATTATACATCCCCATCATGGCTTGTAACCTGATATTGATTTTTTCCTCCAGGAATCTGTCCAGTCCCCTTTTAAAGGCATCTAGGCCAGATGCCATCACCACATCCTGTGGCAAAGGGTTCCACAGGGTAACGACACGCTGGTTAACAAAGTATTTTATTTTGTCTGTTTTCACAATCCCAACGCTCAATTTGAGTGGATGTCTCCTAGTTCTGGTATTGCATGAAAAGGAAAAGAGCTTCCCTCTATCCACTTTATCCATCCCCTGCATAATTGTATACATCTAAATGATGTCCCCGCTCAGGCACCGTTTCTATAGACCAGTGGTCCCCAACCTTTTCCAAACTGTGGACCGGTTGGGGGTGTGGGGGTCAGTGGGTGGGGCACCCCCCACTTGTGGGTGTGTGTGGCACGCTCATGGGGGGCATGGTGCACATGCACGAGTGAGCATGGTGTGCTTCGGGTGGGCAAAGTGCTCGCATGTTTGTGTGTGGGCGGGGCGCACTCACGGGCGGGCTGGCCATGCTTGCATGCATGTGCGGGTGGGTGGGTTACCCGTGCGTGCAGGTGGGCATGTGGGGGGGGAGTGCTGGGGGTCAGGAGATCTGTCTCCATGGCCAGGTCCTATGATGGCCACGGAGCAGCAGCGGGCCACAGACTGGGGGTTGGGGATCCCTGCTCTAGACTAAAGAGCTCCAAATTTTGTAGCCTTTCCTTATAAGGGAGGTGTCCCAGTCCATGCATCATTTTAGTCACTCTCTTCTGCATCTTTTCCAGTTCCACTATGTCTTTTTTGAGGTGCGGTGACCAGAACTGTGCACAATACTCCAGGGGCGGCCTTACCAGCGTTTTGTACAATGGCATGATAATGTAGGCTGTTTTATTTTTAATCCCCTTTTTAATGATACCTAGCATGGAATTGGCCTTCTTCACTGACGCCGCACACTGGGTTGACACTTTCATCGAGCTGTCCACCAGCACACCCAGATCTCTCTTTCCAGATCCATCATGGACAGCTCAGAACCCATCAGCTGATAAATAAAGTTTTGATTTTTTTATTTAGTTTTTTGCCCCAATGTGCATTACTTTACATTGTGCAGAAGCATTTCTGGTCACTGCTGAAACCTGGACATTCAGGCTCAGAGACCAATCCAGAAGTGCCCCCAAGCGGCCGAAACCTGGACATCCAGGCTCAGAGACGAAGCCAGAAGTGCCCCCAAGCAGCCTACCAGTGTTTTTAGAGGGAGTGCAACCCCATCTTTGATCTGCCTTTTGACTGTCTGGATTAAGTTTTCATTTATTGGGGGAGGGAGGCAAAATTCCCCATCTCCAGACCCACTGAAGTTGTCTGCTTTGATTTTATACTGATAGTGATTCTGGAGGATTTGACAGAAAGTAGGCTCAACAATTAGGCCTGGAGATACTGAGTACAGAACCTGGAGCCTTCCACATGCCAGGCAAGTCCTTTTTTGCCTGTTTGATAGCTCTAAAAATCTGCCAGGATGTTCCAGTGCAACCTGTGGTATACATCTGTGCAGGTAACGCAGCATTGTGGTCTGTTTGAAGAACAGGACTGAGCTGATGTTTTTGACTACAAGAACAGTGATATATCCTTTGGCCACCGAAGGGTTTGCCTTGGCATCCTTTCAGTCTCGTTCAGTTGCCCTGGAGTAGTACATTTGCTTTAAAAGAGGCATGCTTTTTATTTCAAGGCGTAGTTGGGATTAATTTTGCCTTTTTACTAGCGGTGGGATATTGAACATTAGATCTAGAACATGGGGTTGGTGGCTATTGTGGAATGAATAAGAAAATGTATTCTGAGCTTTGTATATAAGGTAGCAGAAATGATACATCCCCACTTGTTAACCAGCTGCTTTTGTAAGAAAACATTCTCTTGTTGTGTTTGTTGCATGCATTATGTTTAGTTGTACTCTTGACTTGTTGAGATTCTGGGATGTGTCCTTTTTTTAAGCTTAAAGTCCATCACTGTCTAAGAGACACTTTGCAAGTAAGTAATAAACCCACCCAAACTCAATGGAAGTATTTTTGTTTGGTTTTGTGTAGTGATCTTTTGTTGCCTGAATAGTGGATTATTATTTTAATGCTCTAATCCTGAGTGTTGCTAACAGTGCAGTATTATACATGTTTGCTCAAAAGTAGCTTACACTATGATACTGTGTGGAATTTACTCCCATGTGAAGTGTTTTTAGGATGGCAACGTTTTGCCCTCAGTGAGATTTAGTGTAAAATCTGTACATTTCTCAGTATGCATTTTTGGATTGCAGCTGCATTTCCCCTAAAAGCTGTGCCACTCTTGAGATTGT